TTGAGAAATAATTGCCCTTCACTTTGTGCAAAAGTCAAAAGTACAGAAGTTATTGCCTTAAAAGAAAAGAACATTCCAAATATATTATTAACGATGTTTGAATAAAAAAATAAATAGTAAAATATGAATCCTAAAAATTATGTAAATAATAATAAAAAAATTTCAACCAGCTTAAATTATTTAGTCCAAAACATGCACTAACATTAACTTCTCTGTACATACAAAAGAGAGGGAAAGTATATGAAAGTTCAGAATACAAATAAAGCAAGAATTTATTAGTAGAACAAAAATTATTTACATATCGATAAGATAAGAAACGGGCATATTTTTCGTTCGTTATCAATCTCAGCAAACAAATGACAAATCCCAGGATGACAAAACAGTAACTTCCTTGCTTGCCGAGACAAATAAACCAAGTGAAGGGAGCAACAGAAATTGTTCCTCACATTTCTTAAGTAATAACTAATGATATCTTCTTAAAATGCTTCAACAGTTCGCTCAATACAGACGCCATATCATCGTACTCGTAAAATATTCACAATAGCTTGTAAACTTCATTACCTTACACAGCAACAATCCGTAAGAATAACGTGCTGCATGAATTGATGTCTAAAATGCCCCATCAAAGTTTCCAGGCTGCAATGGAAGGAAGAAAATGAATCACTATTATCAAACAGGAAAAATAACTATATGACATAATTCAGAGAATCACATTTGTTCCTAACTCATTAAGACCTTGTTTGATGCAGATTTTTTAGATCAAATTTTAAGAAAAATGATTTATTTTTTTAGTGAAAACGTGATTAAAAAGTAAGAAAAATTATGTATGTAAGTGCAGAATTATTTTATTTGTGGAATGTGCAGTTGAAAATGAATTTGGAGCTAGATGAGTTTTAAAGTATCTTTACCAAACATGGATTAATTTCTTTATTGTCGAACTGCCAATTTAACAAAAATATTTCTGCAAAGTATACTAGTGAATTGCTGTAATCCTGTAACCGTCAAAGTCAAGGTGCAAGCCTTGAGAGTTGACAGTCCAGGTATAAGTTTCGAGACATTTAATGTTCAATCATGCTACATTGCAAAGAGCTTGATAGAAAGGTTGATATAATACACATGACATGCTATTATTGAACTGTCTAAAATACAAGTCAATTTTTCCATCCATCCATCCATCAATTCATATCTTGCCCAAAACTAATTATGTCAAGAAATCTGTAAAACCATTTACAATAAAATGGCGTAATCCTTTAATGTTTCCACAAAATGTGGCCTGCTTTTTTAGACACTGGTTCTAACAAATTGGTCCCTAAAAAACCCAGCAAATAACACATGGTAATTAATGTTTCCTCAAAATGGGACTCAACAAAACATAACAAATCTTCCGAAATTGCAAAGACAAACAATAGATTTAAACCTAACAGGAAGATTCACTGATAAATATCATAATCAACAAAAAAACCCACAAAATTCCGATCTCAAAACAAAATCTTTAACCAAAAACATTAATAAGTGAAAAACAAACAGTAAAAAAAAAAAAAAA